CGCCACCTGCCGCCCTTCTCACTCGCCCCGCCCGCCTGGCTCTTGGCGCAATCGATTCGCATAGCCCGGTAGTAGTCAGGTTTATGTCGGCTGCCGATGGCAGTGGCGCTCTCGTCTATAAAGCTGGAGATGGTGATGACGATGGTGGCGTTGATGCCGCCTACAGAGCGGCATTTGTACACAGTTTTTTCTAACGATGGGATGGGCGACGCACCATACCTACATTCAAACTAAAGTTTAAAACTGTAAATTGTACATACAATTAAATAGGTGTGAAAGTTGATCGCCAATTGTATGATGAAACGTTCAGCAGGAAGTATCGTCTTAAAACTGTACCCAAAATACTAAACTTGTACTGTCATGTGGCTGATTGAGGACGCGCACCTTGGTCAAATTTTGTACTATGCAACCTGCGATAATGCAGAAAGTACGTTTGTCATTCGCCGTTACGGACCGGCCTAATTCGGCCTCCCACGAGCCCTCATAGCGCCTGGCAGGTAGGCAACATGTACCCTGCAGTGCGTGCATGTACTGCGGGGCGGCCTACCCCGAGGTTCACAGGCGCCGAGCTCCCGTAATCCGCCGAATGCATCTGAGAAAAACGGCCGTACTTCCTGGAACGTAATGTCATGTTCGACATTACATCTTTATTATTTATGTCTTAGAATTCTTGATGTCTTTATGTTCTGGAGATTGATGTAATACTGCCACTGCCTGCCTGCCTGCCCGTTTCTTCACGACTCGATTGGAATTGCTCTACGCCAACCAACTAACTCTCGGCTCTCGCGTGTATTTGTTGAAGGGGATGTAAGGAGAGTAGGGGGGGGGGGCACTCCCTTTGGCGCCGCCAGGGCCTGCTGGCTGGCGTCGCCAGACGTGTCCCTGTGCTGCGGCGCACCTCGAGAGGCGCGCAAAGCGACCTCACAGGGACCGCAGGCGGAGCAGCGGCGTGCTGGGGCGCAACCTCCCCCGCCTCCACCGTGACTGCCGACCTGGCAATATAATCGCCCCAATCCTCGCACACACACGCACGCAAACGCGCGCGCGCGCACACACACACACACACACACACGCAAACGCGCGCGCGCGCACAGAATGGATTCTCATACTGGTGGGATGCACACATTATCGGCTCGGAAATTAATTCCTCCTCGATTCCCCCAACCCATCATATCTACCGGCCTTTGGCGAGTTGCTGTCGAGGATGCAATCATCACCACGCTCTCTGTTCGGCCTGCCTACTCTGGAAACCCATAAGAGCCGTACAGTACCACAGTACCACAGGCACCCTGCGTCCAGAGTGCCGGGCATTAGGACACTATGCGTATGTTGTGATATGTTTTAGTGTTAAATGTACTAAAAAAAATTTCTACTTTTCCGTTGCCTTTGCCGTTCCGCGTGTTCCGTTGCGTTACGACGGCCTCACTGTGATACTGAACGAATCTTGGGTTCGAAGAGTGACCAGACTACACACGTCCACCCCTTTGTGGCTTAACCGCCACACTCGGCGTGTGAACTCGGATAAACTGCGCGCTCTGCTCTGGAACTATTGGGATTGGATGATACCGTCAGGTGGGGGGCGGCGAGTGCTGCGTCCCGACCCTGAGGGCCCCGCTGAGCCGCGGGGGCGGGGGCTTCCCTCTGAGCCAGCGGAACTGTCAGCGGCCATAGCCGCCGCGACCCGGGATGCTCAGCCCCCGCCTTCCGCAGTCGTGGCTCGCAGCCCGCGGCACCGGCACCTGAGCTTCTTCCTCTGGAGCTGGTAAACCTGTCCCGCCCCTCCCCA